TCAGCTGCATAACCCCACCAAGCACGTCATGCCGCTCATCGCCTCCATCACCGCGCGATTCCACGCCATCACGCAGGACTGGGTCGTCATCAGGTACTGGTCATCTTCTCCGCTTCTTCAGGCAGCGGCTGACCTAATTACGTCGTACGACGGGTTGGTCGACTTAGGACGCACATGCAGTGCTGGGTGGTTTCTCTTTCTTTGATCTTTTCCTAATTACATCCAAGAAAAGGGCTGGTCGTGCCCTAATTTTACCGCATCGTTCGTCTGAACCTTTTAAAAAATGGGATTCTGATTTCCTTCCGTATTTTACATTTAATTTTTGCAGGACGCAATACATTGCGCCGCCATTGCAGTGGTTCGCGAACGCGTGCATCTACCTGTTCCTCGTTCAAACCGTGGACCGGCTCGTGCTGTGTCTGGGGTGCATCTGGATCAACGTCATGGGCATCAAGCCGCGCTGTCAGCCGCTCGCGCCCTACGACCCGGAGGAGGCGGGGCAGTCGTACCCCATGGTGCTCGTGCAGATCCCCATGTGCAACGAGCGCGAGGTAAGCGCTTCCAGTTCCTCTGCTCTTCATTGCGTTGCAACGAGTGCGGTTATGCATTGCGTGTCATTTCTTACAATTGCGTTTCCACTGCTCCAGCAGATGTCATGTCGCAAGAGCTAACTTACATTCGTACGTTATTTCCCCGCCACGTCCGCGTCGCGCGTGCAGGTGTATGACCAGTCGATCGGCGCGGCTTGCAAGCTGGAGTGGCCGAGGGAGCGCATGCTGATTCAGGTGCTGGACGACTCGAGCGACGACGAGATCCAAAAGCTCATCGAAGCCGAGTGCCTCATGTGGCAGCAGCGCGGCTACCCCATCATCTACCGTCACCGCGTCATCCGCACTGGCTATAAGGTCAGCATTATGATTTGGCCGTTCAATCCTTTGGGCATCGCTCCGGAACCTACCCGAAACAATCCCGTTCTATTGTTCGGATCGGCATGCGCAAGTATGGTGGTCCTGACCGATGACAAGTCTGGTGCTCCTCGTTCGGATCGGCCGTGGTCTTGATACTGATCTCTTCGATATCCTCGCTGTCTCCTCTCGCTGCGTTGCGATGCAGGCGGGCAATCTGCAGAGCGGCATGAACTGCGAGTACGTGAAGAAGTACGAGTTCGTCGCCATCTTCGACGCCGACTTCCAGCCCAAGCCCGACTTCCTAAAGCTCACCGTGCCGCATTTTAAGGTAACGCCTACATTTTACAGTTGCTGTGATTTGATACTCCCTACATGAAAATAATCTCCCATGCTCTCCGATTTTCCTGCGTCCCCGTCGTCCTCCTCGTCGTCACGACTTGTCATGGCAACCGACATTGGATGGTGGAGCTTCCCGATCTTCGATGAACGATGATTTCTTTTCTTGTCTGGTCAAAAGATGTTTCCGCCAACCGTCATCTATTGCTCGTTCCGACCTCCTTTTCCCCCTCCTCCCGCCCTCTCGTCCTTCGGTCTGCGCCCTCTGCCTCCCTTCAGAACAATCCAGACGTGGCGTTGGTGCAGGCGCGGTGGAACTTCGTGAACAAGGACGAGAACCTGCTGACGAAGTTGCAGACGATCAACCTGCGGTTCCACTTCGAGGTGGAGCAGCAGGTCAACGGCGCCTTCATCAACTTCTTCGGCTTCAACGGCACGGCGGGCGTGTGGCGCATCACGGCGCTCGAGGAGTCGGGCGGCTGGATGGACCGCACGACCGTCGAGGACATGGATATTGCCGTGCGCGCGCATCTGAAAGGGTGGAGATTTCTGTTTCTGAACGACGTGGAGGCGATGTGCGAGCTGCCCGAGTCGTACGAGGCGTTTCGCAAGCAGCAGCACCGGTGGCACTCGGGCCCGATGCAGCTGTTTCGGTTGTGTCTGCCCGATATTATCACGGCGAAGATCGCGCTGTGGAAGAAGCTCAACATGATTTTCTTGTTTTTCTTGCTGCGGAAGATGATTCTGCCCTTCTATTCGTTCATGCTCTTCTGCATCATCCTACCGCTCACCATGTTCGTGCCCGAGGCGCAGCTACCGCTGTGGGTCGTGTGTTACATCCCGGGCATCATGTCGCTCCTCAACGTCCTCCCCTCGCCCAAGTAAGCCTTCGTAAAATATAAAGACACATACGATTCCTTTCCATGCCCGCCTGCATCGTTCCCTCCCGTCGCCTTCCGCCCTTTTCTTGGCTTCCCCTGCACTAGGTGTCTCCTGGCCGTTTTTTCTCCATGTAACACATCCTTTCTCCCCCATCGTACCACAATCATCCTTCGCAAGCTTCATCCCCGTGCGTGATCCGATCCGTTACCATAACCACCCCGTGCCGTCCCCCTTGGTGGTTGCTTGCAGGTACTTCCCGTTCATGATACCGTACCTGCTGTTCGAGAACACCATGTCAGTCACCAAGTTCCAGGCCATGATCGCGGGGCTCTTCCAGCTCAAGAGCGCGCACGAGTGGGTCGTCACCAAGAAGTCTGGCCGATCCACCGACGCCGACCAACCGCTCGCAACCACCGCCTCCGAACCACTGGTAATTGAACCGCGCGGTGTGAGGGTTTAAGCGCAGCGCGAGGTTATCGAAGAGTGTGAGTGACGGGAAAGGTCTGGGAGTGGCCAGGATGGGTTTCTGGTGGCGCTCTTTTGCCCCCTCCCGTCGCAAAACCCTCTCGAATTTCTCACCTGCCCTCTTCGGGACGTATGCAAACATCTTCCCCTCTCTGCGTCTGACCATTTATTGCGCAGGGCACTCTGAAACCGAGCAAGTCTGTTGCGAATATCTCTCGGCCGTCTACACCACCAGCTGCTTTCACCCGCACCGCAAGCGAGGGCATGCTCAACGTTCGGATAGAGGATCAGCTCAAAGTGAAGATAGATCAACCTTTGCTGACGACACCTCCCAAGAGTACAGAGGCCATCACGCTATCAAAACCGACTGGAAGAAAGTGAGTGCTCTACAGACAAACATAATCAACTCCCAACCCTGTTATGTTGGATGACAAAGATAATAAATTGCTTTGGCTCTTGTCTCTTTCCCCTTGCTTCATCACCTCCTTTAACCCCATTTCCCAGACTGTACAAGAACGAGCTAGCGCTGGCGCTGCTGCTGCTAGTGGCGGCGGCGAGGAGCCTGCTGACGGTGGCGGGGATGCACTTCTACTTCCTGCTCTTCCAGGGCTTCACCTTCCTCATCGTCGCCCTTGACCTCATCAGTGACCGCCAATAGCTGCTCCCTCGTCCTGCCGTCGCTCCATTTGCAAATTGTGATTGCCCATACCATCCATCCATTGACCCGACCTGTGGCTCATTCGTCCTCATCCATTGGTCGACCCCTGCAATGTCGCACCAGCAGCAATACCTCGCCTGTCTGCATTTGTTAACCAGTAGCAATAGCTGGTCTCAACACCTCCACCAACTGTGCCTCTCCACTGGCTGTTGGCATTGACCATGTAACTTCTCACCTATGGGAGCGTTCTGCTGCTGCTGCTGACTGCTGTGATTCATGCTGTGCTGAGGCGTCCTCCTAAGCCCGTGAGACAGCTCCTCTTGGTGCATATCTCATATCCCCTGAGGTGGCACAAGAAGCCTGTCAAAAGCTTTGGGGTAGAAGAGAGGGGAAGGGAATTTTCAGCTGGTGAATGTAACAGAAGGAAGCAGTTTGAATGGTGGTTGGCTCCTAGGGTGGGCCCTCTGGGGTGGGCCATCCCGGCCTAAGTGTGTTGCGCTTACCATTGAGGCTAGACGTTGTAGCGGGCTTTTGTATTCTGCCTCCCTTAGGTGTATCGCTAGGAAAATACTAGATAACATAGTGCATGTGGGTGCATTGTCTTGAGTAATAAAATAATGCACACACTTGTTGGTAATAATTTGTTTACATTCGTTAACAATTATTAAGCTTGTAATAGCTATTTAAGATTTTGAATCCTGATTTGCAACACTACGAGGCTTGCAATAGCGCAGTCGGCGACTTGAGATGAGAAGCCGCTGGTGACTCTCGTCTCGATCCCCGCTCTAGGTCATCACAGGCATGTTGATCAAAATCCGCGCCGCTCGTTCCAACGCTTAGGGTGAGCGGAAGCAAAGCTCGCATTGAACAGTTATTGATCAAACCGAGCGAAGTTCTCCTTACCGCGCGCGCTGCAGCTGCGCGATTGCTCCCCGCGCGACTGCTTCCCGCGCGACTGCTTCCCGCGCGACTGCTCCCCGCGCGACTGCTCCCCGCGCGACTGCTCCCCGCGCGACTGCTCCTCGCGGGACTGCTTCTCGCGTGCGATTCTGCTTCTCACGTACGTGCGAAGTGCAGGACCCCTTCTTGGTCCACTTCCATCGCGCGCCGCTTCTCTCCCGCCGCGTTGCACCTCGCTGCACCGCGCTGTGCTGTCAGGCGCCAGCGGCATCAAACAAAGCGCCGAGTTCGTCAAAAGCAACTGCCGCGCAGCCGGAGGAGCGCGGGTTGCGGGATAACAGCGGGGCGCGGCGATGCAGAGTCTGGGGCGCGAACTGGGCAGCCCGCCGGCGGACGGTATCTCGAACGTGCGCTTCTCCAACCACTCGGACCACCTCCTCGTCGCCTCCTGGGACTCCGTGAGTGCCCTGCCGTGCCCTGCTGTGAGTGCCGCCCGCTCCCACGCATCCACAGGATATGACATGCCCTGAGTCGCTTCTCCAACCACTCGGACCATCTCCTCGTCGCCTCCTGGGACTCCATGAGTCACTGCCGCTTGGTCTGAGTGCCGCCCGCCATGCTGTGAGTGCCGCCCGCTCTCTCCCTTCCACACGCGTGACATGGCGCCTGCTGTGCCGTGAATGGTGCGTTGAGCGGACCCAAAGCACGCATGGTCCGACCCATCATCACTTCATTCCGTCCCACTCCTCTGCACCGCACTCAGAACTTACGGCTGTACGATGCGGGCGCCAACACGCTGAGGGGCGCCAACAACGAAGGCATGGCTTAACAGTCCAGCTCTGAGCCACGGCATGGTTTCCCTGCCGTGTCTCAGAGCTGGACTGTTAAGCCATGCCTTCGTTGTTGCTCTCTCCAGCCTCACAACGCGCCTGCCCCTCTCCACTTGCGCCTGCCCCTCTCCACTTGCGCCTGCCCCTCTCCACTTGCGCCTGCCCCTCTCCACTTGCGCCTGCCCCTCTCCACTTGCGCCTGCCCCTCTCCACTTGCGCCTGCATTCAACACCTCCCCCTCCCCACCTCCTCTCCCCCCCCTTCCTTCCCCACCCCCCTCTGCTCCACCTAGAACCTACGGCTGTACGATGCGGGCGCCAACACACTGAGAGGCACGTTTCCCCGCCGTGGCCCGGTGCTGGACTGCTGCTTCCATGACGACAGCTCTGGCTTCGCTGGCAGCGCTGATCAGTCGGTGGTCAGGTGAGGCACGGAGGGCGATTGAATCAGTAAGGCTCACGAGGTGAGTGCGTGGGGAGGTGAGTGCGTGGGGAGGTGAGTGCGAGGGGAGGTTAGTGCGTGGGGAGGTTAGTGCGTGGGGAGGTTAGTGCGTGGGGAGGTGAGTGCGTGGGGAGGTGAGTGCGTGGGGAGGTGAGTGCGTGAGGGAGGTGAGTGCGTGGGGAGGTGAGTGCGTGGGGAGGTGAGTGCGTGGGGAGGTGAGTGCGTGAGGAGGTGAGTGCGTGGGGAGGTGAGTGCGTGGGGAGGTGAGTGCGTGGGGAGGTGAGTGCGTGGGGAGGTGAGTTTGTGGGGAGGTGAGTGCGTGAGGAGGTGAGTGCGTGGGGAGGTGAGTGCGTGGGGAGGTGAGTGCGTGGGGAGGTGAGTGCGTGGGGAGGTGAGTGCGTGGGGAGGTGAGTGCGTGAGGAGGTGAGTGCGTGGGGAGGTGAGTGCGTGGGGAGGTGAGTGCGTGAGGGGGTGAGTGCGTGGGGAGGTGAGTGCGTGGGGAGGTGAGTGCGTGAGGAGGTGAGTGCGTGGGGAGGTGAGTGCGTGGGGAGGTGAGTGCGTGGGGAGGTGAGTGCGTGGGGAGGTGAGTGCGTGGGGAGGTGAGTGCGTTTCTGGGTGCACTGAAAGGGATTGCGTGCGTGGTGGTGGTGTGTGTGTGGATGCTGGGTGCATGATGCACCCTGGTGAGCCTCTGCATTCCATGGCATGCCGTGCGCCTGTGCGAGTGGATAGGCATGCATGCCCTGCGAACATGCAATCACCAGCGGCCCCATGCAATCACGAGCGGCCCCATGCTGGAGCCATGTCTAGTTTTGAGGCGCCTCAAAACTGGAGCCATGTGCAATCCCACCTTGACACTCCTTCCATGCAGTCTCACTCTTGTCAAAACCATAACCCCATTGTCATTCTGTCCCTATTCCCCTGCTGTCCCTGTCCCTGCTGTCCCTGCCGGCCCTGCTGTCCCTGCCGGCCCTGCTATGTGTGCGTTGACTGCGGTGGGGGCGTTGGAGCGTGGCAGGTACGACTTCAATGTGGGGAGGGAGGACGTGCTGGGCCACCACCAGGGGGCTGTCAAGTGCGTTGAGTACTCGCATGCCACGGGTGAGACAATGGATGAGTGTGTTAGTGTTAGCCCTAAATCTCACACTTTGTATTTGTACTTGCTATATCTTAGCGTAGTGTAGTTTGCACATTGTGTTTAATTGGGTGTACACCCCCCTTCCAACCAAACCTAAATGTGATCTCCAAGCAATCTTCAACCCACCAATTGGAGATTGTCTTGGGATACCCCCAATTTCTAGAGATTGTCCCTGATTCCCCTCCCCATGCAACCCTTGCTCATTCTGGATGTACTTAAAGAGCTTCGAGCTCATTACTAATGTATGTATTCTAAGCTCAAGTTTTGACAAAGTGACCATGTGTGTGTGTGCACAGTGCACTGAGCAGACCTGCTCAGCGTAGACGCCAGATTCGTCTCCTTCTCCGGCCCCTTCGCTGCACCTTGGCGATGTAGAGTAGTTTTGAGAATTCTCAAAAATACTCCTTCTCCGGCCCCTTCGCTGCACCTGTCCACCCTAAGCCTTCTGCTCCCCTCTTCCCCGCAGCCTTTCATTGTAAAACACCCCCCGGATCGCCTTCCACACCCCCCATGCCCCAACACCCATCGTCAACTGATTACAGGAGGGTGGGGCCGCTGGGTGGGACCCCCGCGCCCCCGCCTCCCACCTGCGCCTCACAGTCACGGCCGAGCAGCCCGAGCGCTGCTACTCCATGTCGCTCGCCTCGCCGCCCATTCCCCCGTGCCCCCCTACGCAACCCCCCTGTGCCCTTTCCCATCCGCACCCCTTTACCGTACCCTTCCCCATCGTGGCCCCCATTTCCCCTCTTCCCGCACACCCTCCGTGCCCCTACGTCCCTGCAGGTCAGCTGGTTACAGGAGGCTGGGACCGGACAGTGCGCTGCTGGGACCCGCGGGCCCCCGCCTCCCACCTGCGCCTGACAGTGAGCAGAGCAGCCTGAGCGATGCTACTCCATGTCGCTCGCCGCGCACCGCCTCGTGGTGGCCATGGCGGAGCGCCACGCCCCTGCGCTGCGCCCCCAATGGCCCCACACCTTTGTGCCCCTCACACCCCTGTCCCTGCAGGTCAGCTGATTACAGGAGGCTGGGACCGGACAGTGCGCTGCTGGGACCCCCGTGCGCCCGCCTCCCACCTGCGCCTGACAGTGACAGCAGAGCAGCCCGAGCGGTGCTACTCCATGTCGCTCGCCGCGCACCGCCTCGTGGTGGCCATGGCGGGGCGCCACGTGTCCATCTATGATTTGCGCAACATGTCGCAGCCGGAGCAGCGCCGCGAATCTTCACTCAAGTTTCAGACGCGGTGTGTGCGGTGCTACCCCACGGGCACGGGGTATGCACTGGCGTCCGTGGAGGGGCGCGTGGCCATGGAGTTCTTCGACCCCTCTGAGACTGCCCAGACCAAGAAGTGAGTGTGGCTTTGAGTCGCCTCAAAAGTCAAGTGGCCTACCGTGCAAGGAAGCGAGTGGGCTGGTGATCTACTCTGGCTGTGTGTCGCCTCAAAGGTCTGTGCACACACGAGCGCAGGGCAGCCCGGGGCAGCAGTGCTTCGTGTGCACACACGAGTGATGTGAGGAATCATGTGAGTCGACTAAAAATTCCATGGCAAGACATTTGAGATGGCTCCAACAAGGCCACTCAGGAGTGAGCTTGTGCATGCGAGTCTTGTGAGGGATGAAGTACGGTTCATTAGGAAAGGTGAGGGTATAGTTGTGGAGGAAAGAATGGGGGGTAGGTTGCCAGTGTGGAACGTGATGGCGGGCAGTGGCAAGCACGGAAGGGAAGGGGGTGCCTGAGCTGAGCTGAAGAGTGTGTTGTTGGGGTGAGGTGGGATGCAAGTGACTGCCGCTGCCTCGCATGGGAGGGTGGCCTGGCGTGTCTTCACCCGGCCGCCCATGGCCCTGTGCTCGGCTGGGCAGGCTGCACAGGCAGGTGTGGTGTTGGCGGTGTTGGTGGTGGTGGTGGTGTATGCGTGTGCTGTGAGTGAAGGATAGTGCAGGTGTAGCGTGGCAGCAGGAGGCCGTGCGACTGCGCTGGCACCACAGCTCATGAGTACTTCCCTGGCCTTGATGTTTGAGGGCCTCAAAAGGTGATTGATGAGGGTGGAGGGGCTGCTGCTGGGCCCAGGAAGGCTGCCTTTCACACATCTGTGTGTGCATGCGTCCTCCTCCGCATGCTCGCGTATTCTTTCCCCGTTCGATTTTCTTCGGATTTGTGCTGACT